GTTTGAATAATCGCTTAATTCAAAGAAGATCACAAAAAATTAAATGGAAAAATAACAAAATTTCATTATTTGGATATTTAAAATTAGCAAGTTAACAATTATTTATATCAAAGGGTGAATAGATATATGAAAGGTTTCTTCCTCTTAAAGAGAGTTTTTCCTTCCCACTGTCGCCAAAGAGTTTGGTAAAAGGTGGTCATATGATTCAGGGGATTTTCCCTCTTTTCCTTGTATTATTGTTGGGTCTTTACCTTACAAGATCAAACATCTTGATGCAATATATGTGATTTGGTGCTATATAGCTAAAATTGAACTGAACTGAGTTAAATTGAATGTATTTATATCAAAGGCTATAAGAATTTCGACTATCGTGTAGGAATATTAAATATCATAAACATATTATTCGATTATTAGATAGGAGTGTGTGTGTGTGTTCATGCATTTTGTGTGTATTGTACTTTAAACAAGAGAAAAACAGAAACCAAAAAATATGTCTGTTTAATAATTTTATTTCTTGGTGTTGATGGTGTTAATTATTTGTATTTTTTTTTCTCTTCTCAAAGATAAGATTTCAGTCGTCATTTTGGGCAATGAAGAGTCTTTGAAGAAAGCTCTAATAACTGTCATCCTGGGGACAGATTTATCTGATACAAGCAAAAGAAAGATTCTAAAAAACACTGAGATTCATGAAGAGGAAAAATTTATGTTCATATGCACACCAGATTTGAGGACACCATGTGATGATATTTCAGAGTTTTTTTCTGAGAATCCACACCCTGACATGTGTTTGTTTGTGGTAAAAAAAGGATTTTCAGCAGAGCAGATATGGCATCAGATAGATGTTCTGAATGAGAAAACAGGAAAACCCACAGAAAGGTTTAACGTCGTGCTGCCGTTGGGATATGAACCCAAAGATTTCCCATTTAAATCCTTCACCCTGGAGCAGCTTTTTAATGAATTGGACAAAGTGATTGAGCTGAAACAAACAACCTATACCAGGTAAATGACAAAGCAGATTAATTTGTTATCATTCAATTTAATTAATCGACACCTAAAATTAACTGAATAAAAATGAAACTTGTTAATATGAACTGACTGCTGAATTACAGGTCAATCTTCAGTCCTCAGTTAGAAGATCAGTTGGACAGAATTGGTGAGCTACAATCTGTTTAAGGAGCATCTCGCCATATTACCAGCACTGTGTGTTCTGTGTGTAATTGGTTACTGTTACAGAGAAAGAGTTCTTGAGGAGATTCAACCAATACAACCACTATGTAAACCCACATGTATTAGTACAGACAATGTCTGTAGTGAACAGCTTAAAAGTCTTTTGAAAGTGTGATTTTATTACTAAATTACTATTACTGAGTAATAATTATTATTACTCAGATTGTGCTACGACTACTGAGTTAACTATCATGAACAGTTTTGGCAGTAGCATAAGTGAAAAGATTTAAACTGAACTGAAGATAAAAGATATGTTAACACTTTTTAGAACCCAGAAAAAAACCCAGAACAGCGGTTTGACAGTTTGACTTAAAGAAATTAACTGTTTGAAATTTTGCTCAATTTGTGTTTGGTCTTCGTCATTTTAGGAAAGCCCAGTGACACCACAGTAAACCTCGTTCTTCTGGGATTGGCTGGGACTGGAAAGAGTGCCAGTGGAAACACCATCCTTGGAAAGAAGCACTTTGTTTCTAAACCCAGTTCAAATCCAGTCACCACAGAGTGTCAGGTGGCAGAAACTGAGATAAATGACTTACATGTGCGTGTGATTGATACTCCAGACATGTTTGGTGATGACACTGAACCATCAGTTCGGGACAAACATGTAAAAAGGTGCAAAGAGCTCTGTGAGTCAGAACTCTGTGTATTTGTACTTGTGATGCATATGAACAGATTTACAGATGTTGAGAGAGACATACTGAAAAAGTTAGAAAACACTTTTGGGACAAAAGTGAAAGAACAAACTGTCATCCTGTTCACCCGAGGAGACGACCTGGAGGAGGCAGAAATGAGCCTGGAGGATTTTCTTCATTCCTGTCAACCTGGTCTGAAGGAAATCATTGAAAAGTGCGACAACAGGTGTGTTGTTTTTGAGAACCGCAGCTCAAGTTCAGACCAGGTGGAAAAGCTAATGAACACAGTGAGCACGGTGTTAAAGAACACAGCAAAGATAGATTAAAAAGGGCTTAGTTGCCATTTTTATGTGTATAAATATAAAAAGCAATGTCAATGTCAATAAAAAAAAGAAGTGTCACATTTGACCTCTGATGTCTTCTTCGAGTTCATTACGTTGATCTGAAGGTCAAAGTTATATGAAAGTATTTAACTCTATGTTTGTTACAGCCACTGTTTGTGCAAATAGCTATACAGGAAGTGTGTGGTGGGTTTGTAGTCATGCTGCTGGGTTGAGCAGTGTGACCCTGTGAATGACTTCCCTAATCCTGCTGGTCTGGAAGTCCAGCAGTTCATCTAAACCAAAGGCTCTTACACTCAACAATATGTGTGTTTGCTATACCATATATCAGCAAGAGAAGATACAACCTCTCTCATGACCCTAGGAGGTGTGTGATCTAGACCAGAACACTCTGAAGAGGAGTGAATGCACTCCTCTCTTCACGCTACACAGACTTGTTACAGACCCCCTAGGATGACACATTCTTTCAACATACAAATGAATAAATACTTCTAAGCATATATAAATATATATTTCTAAGCATAAATGACAATCCAACAATATAAACCTAACAGACCCGGCCAAAGTACAGCCTGTACTTCAGTAATTTTTACTGTCATTTCATGCGCAAGTACGGTCAGAAAGTTCCACCCCTCACACATTCTTCCTCATTGAAAGTGCCTTTTCTTTGATCTGCAGAAATCGCAGCAGCAGCCTTCACTAAATTAAAAAGAGCTTTTCTTTTTTTTTCTTTTTTCTTGTGCCTGTCCCGTTTGGTTCTTTTGCCATCAGAATTATTGTCTAAAGGCGAGGAAAGATGCCCAACGGATTTACTTTACCAAATTGACCATCGCAGCCTTGCCATAATGGTCTGTTTGATTCACCTTTTATTGTTTATTTTATTTATTTTTTATTTTCACTTGCTAGATACGGGACAGACTTGAATGAGGAAAAGAAAAGGGAGAAAGGAAGAGGGGGGGGGGAAAAAAACAAACATGTATAAATATATTATTGGTGATATTATTAGTGTGTGCTTTGTGTTCTAGTTTCTTCATTTCCAGCAGTGCAAGATACAATCAGCAGCAGACTAAAATGAAGTATGAAAACTTTTACAGATTTTCTAAATAACTGTATATATTGTGCTTCATTCACCAAGCAGAGAAGACAGAGAGAGAAGGGCGAGTTTATTCTGTGCCACACTACTTCTTCTTTTTTTTCAAGGTAAAACACCCAAACCAGCAGATTAAAGAAAAAGTTAAAACCGAATCAATAAAACAAGAACAAACCATCCACATTAAAAACCAGTATTTCTCTCATTTCTTCCCCTGAGTCTGACCCCTCTGTCTTGATCCCTTGCTCTGCTGTTTTTAACCAGTTTGAGCCTGTGACTCTTTCTTATTTAGAGGATGTGGTCAGCCAACTCTCTGTGTGGTCAACAGCAGACACACATTATTCCCCTATCGTGGACTAAACCAATCAGAGATAGTCAGGGGCAGGACCTCTCTGATTGGCCGTGGTCCAGTTGAAAGTGCAGTTGGAAGAGAGAGGTGAGTAGCTTAGTGATGGTAAATTTGATTCTTTTTAC